ATCAAAATATTGGCACACAAACATGACAGCTAAAATCGTACGATTATATCATTGAGTATGACCAAAAATCGTATGATCCTGATCCGCTGCAACCAATCACTATTCTATATTTTTATCAAGTAATAAAACTTCGGTATAAAGAGATTAGCAGATGTACAAGTCCTTGCATCGGTTACTATTAAAATTCGTAATATTTACTATCTTAAAAAGCAACACTTTTCCCGACACTCTGCAAACGTTACGCGTATGTGGATTTATCAGAACGTATAAAAGTTTCGGAAACAATGTCCGAATTATTGATAATTTGTACTCCATCCCCCAAAAGTTGGCAGTAACATGATAAGGTTTCGCCCAATCTAATGTTGGTATCGGGGATTGTCTTGCAAATAATATCTAAATTGGGTAATTATTAAACTTATCTGATAAAAATTTATTTCCTAACAATGTTCTAGTAAAGATGCCTTAAATTTCTCGCAATGTGAGATATTTTCTAATCATCATGGTTCACGTCAAATGATACAAACTTCATTCTCATTTTTTTTCCCAAAAATAGTGTCAATCAATGTTTGCTCATGACGGACAAAGTTTTAAATTTACAACTGTAATTCCATTATTACAATGCCTCAGTTAACTGTTTGTAACACGAGTATTTTTAATGACTATCGCGATTAGATGATACACACGCATTTGGTATTTTATATATTTCTGTTTTGTATTCTTTAACTTTTCTAAACTGGGGCATGTCAATATTTTGTTCAGGAAAATAAGGGGCAAAAGGCTCAACGAGTGCCAATAGATTTTCCAGCAGCAAAAGTCGCATGTTATATGACTGAAAATACCTGCTCGGATTTTTGCGTATTATTTGTAATTACTAAACCGTTATAAATAGTAAAATTAATAAGGTCAGTATTCAAATAATTTCCGTTTATAGCTTGTTTTGCCTCACCTAATATAAATACTAAATGCAACACCAATCGTGAAAGAATTTAATGTTTATTTATACAAGTATAACACAATGTGCCAATGTTTTGAAAACACTGTTGATCTTTCTGCTTCACTTATAAATAAAGTTCCCCAACCTCAACTGACAATGGACAAACAAAATGAGCATACACCAAACCCAAGTACACCACTCTCAGGCAAACTCAGTTTCTTCAAAAATTTCTGATGACTTTACTGCTCAACGCATCATCACACTCAAGAAATTTGATGAGGCTGAGATATCTTGGTCGCATATTAGAATCTGCATTGTGGCAAGCGCCGGTTTCTTCACTGATGGATATTGTCTACACTCCATCAGCTTCGTGCTATTAATGTTGGGATATGCTTACGGTGACGAGGTGCTTACCGAGTCTGCTCGTTTTAATATCAAATCTGCCATTCGCTTTGGTTCTATATTTGGTCATGTGTTACTCGGATACATGGCTGATAAATACGGACGGAAAAAAGTAAGAGTAGTTAGAGTTGGAGGGTCGAATTGGCTGTCGTATAAACCCTTAATTCGGTTTTTTTTTTGATCAACAGATGTTTGGCGTAGAGCTGATAATCGTAGTGATCGGCACGTTGTTTTCTGCTCTTGCTGGCCAGGGTCCATCCGTATCATTTATGGGCACTTTCATCTTTTGCCGAGTTATCCTTGGCATAGGAATTGGCGGGGATTACCCAATTAGTGCCCGTATGTATCACTTGTTTATATTAAAATAAACATTCCCAACGCACAATTTGTTTACTAGCATTTCATTCGCCACAGTTATCATATCTGAACTTGCGCCTAGCAAACTCAGGGGAAGAATGTTGGCAGCAGGGTTTGCCATTTTTGCCCTGGGAATGCTTTTTGCTGGTATTGTCTCTATCATTGCTCTTGCTGCGTTCAGGGATTCCGTCAAACAAGATCCACGAAATCTTGATCATGTATGGAGATTTACTATCGGATTTGGTGCCGTACCTGCAATAATCGCCCTGTTTTTCAGGTTATCAATTCCCGAGACACCTCGCTATCTAATGGATGTTGAAGGAGAAATTGATTGGACTCACAGCATTGAACAGTCGCAGGTTGGAAATTACAAAGACAAAAGGGGACCAAAATTGACGCAAAACACAAGTAAACCAAATCATTTTCTCGAGATGTTTCAATATTTTCGTCAATGGAAAAATGGAAAATATTTGCTCGCGACGTCCATCATCTGGTTCAGTGTCAACATTAGCACGACTGGATATAGAGCTGATGCTCTTTTTGATGGAATTATCATAAATAAGGGCAACAACACTCCTTATAACATTGTCTTGCAGGATAATGTAAATAATGTGATTCGTATTCTTTTTGGCTATGTTCCTGGTTCTTTGTTTACCGTATATGTAATAGACAAATGGGGCAGAAAACCCATTTTATATACTGGGTTTGCAGCGTGTGCAACTTTATTCGTCTCTTTGGGATTACTGATGCGGTTTGTGCAGACCGATGAACTGAGTCGAGACCGTTTATACTATTCAGTTTCTACCATAACTCTCGTAAGCTCTTTTTTTTTTTTTTTTGAAATAATGACAGCTTATATTTTTATCGACGCTAATAGCAAGACTTGTAAAACATTTCTAGTTCTTTTTAGCGTTCGGTCCGCATGCAGTAGCATATGTCGTGCCAGCCGAACTATTTCCAACGCGCTATCGTTCAACTGCTTACGGTTTAAGCGCAGCGTTTGGGAAAATTGGGGTGATAATTTCTTATTTGACGTTTGAATGGCTTTATGACGTGCATTCTGTTGAACATTTTCGTACGCGATTTCTGGTTACTTCTATAGTGTATGCTATCTTCATGATGGTGGGAGCAGCGTCCGCAATTCTTTTACCCGAGACCAAGAACAAACCGTTAGAGTTAATTACCAATGACGGTGAATTTGTTCCTTCCAATGTATAATTCCATGGATATAGGAAGTAATTATCATTGGCATAGAAATAGAACAGTACGGACTTGTTACATATGTTGTTATAATATAAATATTAAATAATGTAAATAAAACCATTGTTATTACTTAAATTTGCGGCAGAATTTATATAATTAATTATTACTATAAAGTTTTCTGCAAGGCTTATATGTTATTCATTAGATGTCACTTTTTAAACCAAATCCTTACAGACAACATTTATTATTATATATATGATGGGTCAATTATACATTATTTCGAATTTTTGTCTTAATCTAGGGCTTATGTTCAGCGTATTAATATTTCTCTAATGGACAATTTTATTAACATGAGTTGTTTTTCCTAGTCAAACTCTTGCAATTGATCGAACTCTACGTAATTTAGTACAAAAAGCAACAAGAAGTTGTAAAAAGACAGTAAACATTACCGTGGACGTTAGGACAACTTACATGCTAAATGCAAATTTATTATCATATTTCTTATAACCACATGTAAGAATTCCTTTACTTATTGTTTATTGCTTGGTCATAACAAATTCCAATAGCATATTGTTGCTAAGAAGAAATGTAAAGCAGGTAAGCCGCAGAGCAATGCGTTAAGCTCTGCTACAAAGAACGCATTAACGGGTTTCATCGAAATTCTTTTAACATTATTTATGATCGAGTTTATTTTATATCGAGCGCCAATTAACCTCCCATTATACATGTGCTATTACCGTACATTTATACGAAAGAACAATCTTGTTGATTTTTCATGAATCTCCCATTCCCAACGCTTGGGTGAGCGATCAAAAGCTTCCCACATTAATTGTATGGTCCAACAAGACTTTCTAAATTAACGACAGCCTTGAATCTATTAGCTTCGGGAAATTCGTCGATTTCGTTTTTTGAAAAGTTTATCCTTTTATTGGGTAAAGGTCAACATATTTCATGAAACTCGTTTAACACTTTCAATCGCTATAACATATAACTGCCAATAAAGTTTCGCTTGTTCAATATTTTATAGATTGCTACCAGGGTATTTGAGTTAATGAGATGGTTATCCGTTTTTGGCTTGACCGCTGAATGAGGAAAGTTCTCATCACATGTCTAATCTGTTCATATAATGACAATGTTTCATAATATAATATAGAGACATCGAATTACAAGTCTGTTAAATATTAAAGTCGGGTGCTTGAAAAAAAAATACGCAAAGCGTAATTACTCTTTGCACCATAATAGAAATGCTCTTGAGAGGCTTGGATGTAAATCTTATGCATATTGACGATCAAACCGTATCTGCTGCTTTTGTGTAAGACAGTAGATCGTATATTCAATATACCGTATATGAATTTTCGTGCTCCAATTGTACTAATTTTATCTAACCAAAACCTCATTACATTCGACTGAAATGGCAAATGGGAATGCCCATTTCTTCTGTTGAGTTTGTAGATTGAACTGCACTTTGTGTAAGCAATTATTCTATGCAGGCTCCGTCTTGCTTCGAGAACCGCCATTTTGAAATGTGACAGGTTTATCAAACAATCGTAACTTCATAATGGTTCCATACACTCTCAACGTGTGTGACAGTTACCATGTGTTATTTCAACCGATCAGCTGTTTTCCATAATTGTAATGTCGCACTCACAGAGATAAGGTTCTTTTAATTTATTATTTCGACAATCGAATGAACAATCGACAAAACAAGTGACACCCCGCAGATTTCGTTGACCAATCAAAAGTCTGCACGATTGGGAATGGAGAAACCACATTCTTTGTTGATACTTTGTTTACAAGCAAACTCGATGAAAATGATAGAATATACATATATGACGGCATTGTTTATTGTGTAACAATATATCTAAACAATAGTTCGTTTTGGTTTTTTGTCTAAATGGGAATGGGGCAGCGATCAGACAAAGCATACCTTCTGTGTTTACTACTAGTCTTTTTTTTTTCTCACAAGCCCATTGTCAAGCTCCTTTCTCACTGGTTCCCTCTTTTCTTTTTGTTTGTATTGTGACATATCTAAATGCATAACCCTCTGATGCTTCTTCTATTACCCACAGTAGTATATCATCCTATTCTACAGTTATTATTTTTTTTACCATTCTTTCCCGCCATTTTCACACTTTCCGCCTCTGCTTCTGCCTAACATTTCAAAGTGTCTCTTCAATTGTTCCATCAGCTCTTTATTGTCCGGTGACCAGTGTTTTCTGTAACATTTTGAGCAACAGTAACATTCAATCTCGTTCTCACATTCATCATTGGATTGCGTTGATCCTCTGATATGAGTTTTCACTTTGTCATTCCCATTGTGACGGTTGCATTTATTCTCAACGCAATTGCTGTGCTTGTTATCATTCCTGTTCTGACTAATATTCTCTCTTACTCTCTTTCCTGTGAAAGGGTTCCGATACGCTTCACACACCGATCCACTGCAAACGGGACACCAATGTTTTACTCTCAATCTAAAGCTTTTTTTGGGCAGTGACGAAGTAGTTCGATAATCTAACGTACTCGGATTCCAAGTCAATGTCTTGATTATAGGCGGTTGTATGTTCTGTGTACACACTGCCAATTTTCTATAATCGTTTGATGTCTTGATTATAATTACATCTATACGACGACAACGTGGCTTGGACGGCAGCGGAGATACCGGTCTATGAAGTGGCAAATGAAATTGACGAAGTAATGATTGTAGGTAAGGAGGCGTTATGCGATTTGTACGTCTGTATAATGGCAAGGTGCGAGGGGGCCGAGGGCGTATATCTTCGTCCCATACGTCTATAGTGAAATTCGTTTCTATTATATTGTGTTTGAGCCACTCCCCTTTCTTCTCGTTTTCTTTACCGTTTGCTTTCTCTTGCACGTCTGTCACATCTTGGATATGTCGTTTCCAGAGTTCAAAATGACGTTTTGTCTGTGTTTGTTGGTTCTTGCATTGGTTGTTCTTGAAGTTGCATTTCGTACACTGTTTAGGTGTGTGGAAGTGGTTATCATTGAGCATGGTTGTTAGTCGCTAATGACGAAAAGTAAAACATAGAAAATAGCGAGTATGGTTTATTGCAGTCGTCTACTTTTTATTAGCAACGGTTATTGTCAGTGTACTCGCGTGGAAACCATTTATATAAAAAATCACGTGAGGATGTGCAAACAATATGTCCCGATTGTTGGAATGACTCATGACAAAGGGGGGAAAAGCTTTGGGAGTTAACCTTGATTAGATAATCTTTGAGAGCATTCAATGAACATAAGTGAATATTGTCTTCACGTGCTCGATGTTATTCTAAACCTATCATGACATGATAATGATAATAAATAAATTTCTTTGTAAATTATTCTGGTTATTCTCATTAAATACCATTGTATTATAAGTATTCCTTTCCTTATACAAAATTGTATAGCCAAAGACAAAGAGAACAAAGAAACGCAATCAATAATGGGAATACTTGTTTACCAACTCGCTTGTTGTATTGTGTTGTAAGTCTATATACTTTTATATGTAGATAATTTCTTGATGATTATAAAATTAATGCTTTCTATACATTGATTTCATTGACTCCATTCAATCGAAAGTAAGTGACAACGGTCCTGTAAAAAGCTGTTCTACTCAATTAATTACATCATCGTTATTTTCATGACTTTACATACAGGGAGCCTAAGGTCGTACCTGCGTAAAACTCGCAAGGACAATAAAGAAGGCTACTCGTGAATTTTGTTTTGATCGAGCTGCATTATGATAGATGAGTCAGACCCCCCACTAAATATCGCACGATTGCCTCTAGTATGCTTAGATAACCATCTTACACATCGTTGCTATCATACAGTATATACTTATCGAAGACCCTATATAGTATCATCCAGATTCACCCGTAAACAATATTTCGCTGCTTTCATAATTTTAGACTTTTTGTTTTTAACTCTATCGTTAATTATTTATTTTTCTGTTTCCTGCTTATTTATTTTGACTTAAATCCTGCTTTTGCTGACTATGTCTTTCTTCTCTAACTCAAACTCAAGTGAATTCTGTGAACTTAGTAAGAGTTTCGCATTTTCTCGTATCAACCGTATTTATAGTTTGTGCGGCCAACACAACAAGGAAACTTTGACAGCAGTAACACACTAGGACATTTGCATTTTGACTAAATGTATCATTCTATTTCTCTTGGTAATCCGTGGATATTAATTAATATGGTCGTGTTGACAATTCTTACGTGTCTCGGCTGGAACCACACTTTTAAATATAACAATCTTTGGCCCATAACCTTAACGATTACGTCGTTCATAATCCATTCCTCAAATTCAGGTGAGTCTCAAAAATGGTCCTATCATATAAGAACTCCAATTTTAACCATTTGGCGATATTAGACAACGTGCGGTCAGCTAGTATGCAAACAACGTGAGATCTATTGACAATATTGAATTTATAGTTTCCTTGGACATGAGCAATGTTTTATCCTATCCTATTCATGTCGAAAGCAAAGCTAGAGTCTCCCAATTTTCATTTGCTAAAGCCTTTCTCTGTTCTCTCGTCAGTCATATTAAGGCGAATAAATGATAACCCAAATATCTACTCATGAAATCCCGGCTCACCGCCGTTTAGTCATATGCAACAGCTCCCATATTACTAATTAGCGGGATTATTTGACTAAACTCGAAATTTGCCCCCTCAACGTTCATACAAGCGTCTGAAACGTGATACTGCTGTATCACGCGTATATTGTTCTCCGATCATATATTTCTATCGTGTGAAGTTTCAATCAAAGCGATGTTATACGTAGGAAAATTTCGCAAGCGCTCGCGGATGGCTTTGTCGAGAGTTGTCATTGCGACATCGTGCGAAACCTTATCGTTAAGCTCGTTCATAACAGCTGCTGCTGAGGCGCTTGAGAAATAAGTATTCATCAAGTTGAATTTGATTTCATTCTTCTGGAAATATTACCGTCGGACAAAACTGGGTAGAGATGTAGCGTATTTACGATATAAACTCGGCTTTTCTGTTAACTCATAAGTGTGCTACCGTAAAAAAGTGTTGTTCATTAAATAATCCGAATTTCGGATTCGCACAATAGTTATTATTCTACAAATTCTCTACGTATTAAACCTGTTCAATATCAAGTACAGATATCACCGTGCCATACTTTAGACTCGAACTGTCGTAGCAGATTGCTAAATGCTTCGTCGCAATTAAGATGAACGAAATGTTTATTTATTTGTTACACATTTTCGTCAATATGCGAACGCCACCTGGATAGTTACATCAGGGCAGACGTAGTTTAAAACCCAAAACAACTGTTGTCATACTGTCTTAGCGCCACACTCATTACTCTCTAATCCATTTTAAAGAGAATTGAAAGCGAATCTAAAACATGATTGGTTTTTCGCGTTCCCATTCAGCCAGTTCTCAAATTCGGTATACTTATTACTATGTAAAGCTAGAGAATGTGCGGAGATGCTAACATTAACAACAACGCATCTGCTTCAAAATTTCTTTACCATGCTCAGATAACCAACAATCTCGAGGCAATACGTTGTAGTTAGTATACTACCTGCGACACTCTACGTTCGCGATGCGTGTATAGTTGTAACATACCTAATTGTGCCTAATATAAAATTACGTAACAAACAAGATTCTTAATTCGCGTCATTGAAAGAAAAAACCAATCTTCGAATTGTTTACAACATACGTCATTCTCTCAAAAAAGTCCCGTTCAAAAAAATGACTTCCGCTCAAGAAACGCAACCCTTTGGAGCATAAAAGCTAGTAATATCGATTAAGAAGAATTCTTGGTTTTGTTACACGCTGTAACGTCAAGTAATTAATAGTTCAGCAAAGAAGACATTTTTTCCTTTGGATAGTTTCATGAGACACTTGGGTGTGCGTAAATAATGATTTATACAGTAAATCTAATATGACGGACTGCAGTCCTGCCAATAATATTATTGCCCCGATAAATCTATACGATAACAGAAACTGACTAATAAATGACACTCGATAACATCTCACTTGATAAAAGATGTGAAGAAATTACAAGTTATGAGCAATGATTAAATCATTGCAAGCAATTAAGTAATCCAGAAAACTTTCAAGATTGAGAAATAGTCAATGTTGCCGCTAATCTATACACTGTACAACGAAATAAGAAGAGTGTGGGCTTCTAATGGTAAATCAAATGACATGAAGGGGGAAATAAAGGAGAAAAAAAAAAGAGAAAATTTTGGAATAAGAAAATCGTCAAATAAATGTCATTAACATGGGAAGAATAAATAATAAGTATTTAAACTATACGAACTCTATTACTACTCTGTTTATAACAAGTACACCTTCCACTTCGATAATCATTCAACATTTAATAAGGCATGCTCAAACGATCGAGTCGAAAGTCAATTATATCATCTCCTTTGGCAATAAGATAATTAAAAAGAGCCGTGCGGGCTCCGCCGATATGTAAATCCAAAACGAATCAACAACGAAAACCGATTCCCGCCAGGGTGCCGCAGACTAAACCCGAATAACTACTCGTTCTTCTATTAACGCAACTTGCTTTTCTATCTTTAGTAATTGATAGTTTTTGTTATTGATCTTTCTTCTCTCGCCGTCTGAAAAACACTTCTGGACTAGTGCAAGCACCAAGGGCCCTCTTCATGTGATTGTTCAAATAAGTTAAGCCCACTTGGTACGATGCATTCATCCAACCAAAGCCTTCTCGAGGAACGAACTTGAAGTCAGTTCCCACATTGCCATATTCGACTTTGAGCAGGTGACTGAGTGATACGACATCATACTTCTCGGGTACGATACCATTGAAATCAACAAACGATTTCGTAATCGTATACAACCATCGGTACGCCAACCGACGGGCATCATTGACGTAGCCATAGTTCTCCAAACCACGCCATATCATGATTTGATGTGGTGCCCAGCCGAACGGATAGTCCCATTGACGGTTTGGACGATCAAGCGTTATTGTGCCGCGTGATTCTTCTGTGCCACTGACCATCCCTCCAAGAACTTCAAACTTCTGAAGAGAACATTTACTGTAAAAACATACCATATTAACAAATTGTACGTAACAAATATAAATATTCGTTTGAATTGATTAAAAGAATAAGTAGATACTTACACAAGCCTCTCGGCTTGTTCTTTACTCGCGCAATTAGCCCACAAAGTCCAGAACGCGGTAACGGATTCGTACACCGACTGCTCCTTTTGTACGATATCATAATCGTAGTACAAACCCTTGTCTTCATTCCAAAGATATTTATCTATTGCTTGCTGCCTCTTGGCAGCGTTCTCAAACCACAAAGCGCTAGTCATCACAGTCCCGTCCGCCAACTCAAACCGATCATTATAAATATCTCTTATCGTCGTGCCAATGTCTATTTCATATTTGAACAGCAGGGCGTTCAAATCTACGGTGAGCAGATTTGCGCACCGTTTTTCGAAACGATAGGTCGTGTCGTGACCGGATTCTCTAACGGCACGATCATGAATAAAATACTCGTCAAGTTGCGGCTCGACGAGATCACCATTCTGATACCGAAGTGAAAATTCTTCGATAGTCAAGCCAAGTGCATTTGCATATGGCAATATCACATGATCGAAATGGCTCGCTTCAGTCTCGGGGGGAATACCAATACCGGTTGGATGATATCGACTCAAACCCGTATGACTATCGTAACGCGGGGAAGCCATCCACACAGTTTGATATTCTTTAATGGCAGCGCGAAAAACTTCAGCTAACCACGATTTCTTCTCTTCATCCTCAGGAAGACGCTCGTACACTTTCAAAGCCATGTCGGTTAAAAACGGAGGTTGCGATCGCGTGAGAAAGTAACTCCTATTAGCATTTAGTATCTTCCCATAATGATTGATTTCGTAGACGAAATTGTCTACCATCCCCCTTGCTATTTCAATCTTCCCGTCCACAGCTAGACCAAGCATTTCGAAGTACGAATCCCATCCGTACATCTCATTAAAACGTCCACCAGGCACAACGAAAGGGACACCTTCGAATGTAACATTTCCTTCGTCATCTGTGACCTTACGCATCGCAAGCGAAAGGATACCTGGTTTATTGTTGATGCTTTTCACATACTCAGGAGTTATCTCCTGTGGCAGCATCTGAACGTCCAGGTTCAGGTGTTTTCTTGTTTCCGAAACATGTTTATAGTACTCAAAAATTGCATCTTCTCCGTAAGGAATATAAATTCTTGGGCTGTGGTCGGCAGTTCTATTTTTGGGATCAACACAGATGACCTCCAAACCGTCGGCATCTATTCGCCTAGTTAGCCCGTCCCAGAAGTGAAATTTGATCATTCTAGACAGCCTATCAACTGGGTTGTCATTTAGACGATCTTCGTGGAGGACGATGTGTTTTCGCCCGTGATCACGGGCCAACTCGAGTTCCTGAAGCAAATTGGATAGCATATAAGTACCCCTGATTTCAAACTTGTGATAGCCACCCGAATCTGCAGTGCCCAGTGTGAGGGTCTTGGGTCCTTTATCATGGATTGTGATTTGAGAGTCGCCGTCGGTATCTTCTTGTTCAAGAATTAGACGCTTCGTTTCTTCGACATCGATCAAAAATCTTCTCGGCTTGTTTGTTTTCTCATCTGTAGTCAGTCAATGTAATGAGTGCACTGTTAGTAAGGCATTCTGTTGATTTGTGCCTCGGTACAATGATAATAGAAAGATCGTTACCATGAGACCCTCTTCTTTTCCGGTGAGTTCCTTCTTCTTTGGACTTTTTCGTTAGCCCACCAGTCTAAGGTAGAGTAAATTATTTAGTAATGATGCATACTTGGACGACGATAATTCATTGTGCTTTGATTTATGATTATATTTCACAATTATAAATATTGTTATAAAATATAGATCATAATTAAATACTTACAATAAAGCGTCTGACTCTGGTTAAGTTCTCAAAGGTCAAGCTGTTATCACCAGACTTGTAGTAAATGCCAGCAGGAGTGTGGACGATACTGATCTCCTCCATAACAAAATTTTCCTTCAGTCCTTTTTTTTTCTTTCCTACAAACTAAAGTGTGGACAGATAGGGGTGTGGGCTGACGTTCTGCTATGTATTTATGCTGAGCCAAGATGTGTGTGGGCGCCAAAAAACAGGGCTAAATCGAAATAACACTAGACGCCAAAGATGTGACTAATATTTATAGTGAGACAAATGCCCAGTTTGTATATTAGTAATATAAATAAAATTGCTTTGGTATTAGTAAAAAATTCGAATTGATAGGGGGAAGGAGGGGAAAAGGGTAAGGAAAGGAGGAAGATGTATCTTTATATAATAACGGTGGACAGACGTTGTGTGGCTAGGATTTTTATTAATTAATGTAATATGCTACGAACGCTACGTTATACAGAGCCGAATAATGAATACGATTAAGTGGTGTCTATTTATTGTCATTATCATTATTGTATTATTATTATTATTACTCAATTCCTACACAAGCTCGGGAGAATCAAGCGGATCAGAACTTTGTGCAGGGATATACAAAACGGCATCGATGTTACGGCACGAAAATAAACTGATCTAAATTAATTTAATTGAATTGAGTAGAATTCTTTATTTGTATTATTATTATTGATACTATTATTAATTTATCCATTACATGAACTGCTGTGTAAGTGTATCAAGTTTGCTAAGAAAACCAATGACTCGATGTTCGTTCAACAAAATAAAGCGATGTCACGTTTGTCGCACATATATATCTCACAAGATGATGACCAATAATAAAAACACATGTCCAAGTCATATTGCGCTTCTGTTGTCCGAATATTTATATTTATCCTTTTGACAGTCACTCGTGATTTCACCAATGATGCCATCTTCTAAATCAAGTATTAACAGCAGCGTACACGGAGTCTTTGTTATTGGCGCTTGCAGCTAATTATTTATATCGTAGCACACGAGTCACAATCGTAAAGCACCGATGATATGTAATAAGATCTGATTAGAATAAAAGCTTGTTTACATCTCATGACAAAACTCGAGCGGTTTACATCTCGATACTTATTTTTAATTGTTTAAAATCTATCTAATATTGGTAAATTCATATAATACATCATATCTATATTATTTATCACACAAGCAAAATTCATCGAAAGTAGTCATCTCTATTTGCATGCAATGACCGTTGCCATGTTTGGTTATGAATTCCATGTCTTGTAACTATTTACACTCTGTCATCACGGACTCTTTGGCTTAGTCATGATCCCATTCACAAATAAATGTTATTATTACAAGCTAAAGCAGACAATAAATGTACAACTGTATTTCGACATCTGTATTATATATGTATAGCATTAATTATTTATGCCTAATACTAATAGATTCTCAATAATTCTGATTCGTGTGCCCCACAATGGATAAAATTGTTGCACCAAGTGAAAAAACAAGATAGTAGTGGGAATATGATGAGTAATCAAATCACATTGTACAGCTGATTGTCAAACTGCAGATAATGGAAATTTTAATGTGAAAACATCTGAACAATGCTATTTGCCTCAATGATTCAAAGAGAATGTCCATTATAATTACGTGTAATCAATATTTGGTTACTGAAAACTATACAAACCCAGTCTAATCAAGTTGCATAGAAATAGTCGCAATAAAAGAACAAAAACGAGTACGTCAAATATCCGTACACTTGCGTATACTTCAATATTGTAAAGAAAATCTTTGCAAAGATCGATGTTTTCGTTGCTATTACTAGCGATTTGTGCGACATCGCACTGTATAGTAATAGTATACAAAGTAAATTTGGTAGTGATTTCTTGATCGGCGACTACTATGAAGACCGTTTTAATATGCAACGCCACAAAATGAAGTTATCTTGTAATCACTTGGTTTCTCGGCTTTTCGCTTTGAACTCGAGTCGTTAGATTCTCTTTTACTCCGAGTACGGTGGGGAAACCGGTGCCAGCATATTGCGTCGTGGAAGGTGCATCATTTCGTCACATGCAGATTAACCTGACACTAATGCATCAGCAGTGCATACTCATCATAATAATAACATTGACGAGCGACTTGCAGGAAAATATTGCTTCTTACTCCCCCCACCCATGCGTACTCCATAGAGTTTTTCTTATTTATTGAAAAGTACTCATGTTTCTCTTTTCATTCTTTTACATTTCAAAATTCAAATATCTGTGACCTAGCACTAAACTAAAGCCAATCGAAAAATAAATATAAATATTCTTGTTATCCTTCTCGGCGCTTTTTCTGGTAAAGTCGTTACTTTCATTAGACTTGTTTCGTTTCAGAGGTTTAATGGAATTCCGAGTCTTGAACATATTATGGTTATTGTTAAATAGTTTACTATTCAAAAATATTGTATCTCCTACACTCCAAATTAAAACATTGCTTATAGTCATAGTAACATAGATCACTTTATAGGCCTTTTGTTGCCGTTATGCTACTGTTTCGAAAGGTTTCTACTCAGTAGAATTGCCGTGTCAAAATAGCAAAGTTTTAATGCACGTACTGTCCAACGGCGCGAGTACCCTTTGTGTGAGAGAGATATTTTTGATATATCTCTTTGGGAACTAAGTCTGCTAAGTTAATGACGAAGAATTGTTTGCCGCTGTGCCTCCAGTCTAGAGTTGACGCATTATCAAAGACGGGAGAACAACAATGAATCGTTCGAAATCAACATTTTTTAAACGACATGGCAATTGATTTGTATAAAAAATGCGCTTACGATAAACAACACAGTGATTTTTCATTGCAAAAACGAGTGCATTACCCGAAGCAATTATTTTCATTATAAACTTTAAGATGCTCAAGTATTCATACGTCTACCGACTCTAAGTATGTAAAGTTCAAGCACTCTCACATGTTTTCGTAGTCTTGCTGTGGACGAGCAATTTCTAAGCAGTTGTGTTATCATCATAATGATTTGAATAAAATGCGACAGATTTAAAAATAATAAATAAACTTAATTTACTTCTCTACAATAATCGGGACGTTTTGACAAAGATTCGGAAAAGCTGATCGAACGATTACGACTTACTTGGTCGATAAAATTTGATATCGTTAAATTATAAATTTCTTTCAGAAGTGTTTATTATTGACACATTCATCCAATTTTGTCTCGTGTATTTAATGCTGCTTATAATGAGTATAGGAGTTATTTCAGTAAATGATAAAGTTCAAGATATACAATATAATAATATTGTACTTTCTAAACAGTTGAGCAACAAAAACTTGGTCAAAACTTACGCGAATGGCTCAATCAACTGCCTTTAATGTCATCAGTCAAATTAATGTATAGATTGAGCTAACGCCATCCAATCAATATCAACTGACACGGTATATGTACAGTGGGTGACCAAAAGTCTCCGACCACCCCTTAAAATTTTCGTTGATTATGCATGGCTCCGTAACGAAACATCAAATTTCTATGAAACTTTAGCCGTAGTTTGCGCTTGTATTGAGCTACATTCCTGTAAAATTTCAACATAGATTAATATGTAAACTGTCAAGTTTGCTTATACCCGACTTTACTCAACTTAAAATGCGAAAAATTAAGTTTCTCTACTTGAACGTTTAAAAATGTACGCAAATAAAATTTATGCTACGACCCAGTGCAAATTAA